CTGCCTCTCTATCCCTTTCCACTCTAACTCTGACCTTTTCTCTGTGTCTGTATCAGCTTTTAAATATGCCTGCCTATCTCACTGTGCGCGCGCGCGCGCGCGTGTGTGTGTGTGTGTGTGTGTGTGTGTGTGTGTGTACGTGTTCTTCCTTATTCCAGAATATCCCTCTCTACGTCCCCACAAACATGGCAAGTCCTCGCAGTCTGAAACTAGGAACAGAAAATCCTGAGCAAACAGCCAAGATTCGTCAGCAAATAACTCGGTATTATTTTCACGAGATGACTAATTAAAGAGGAGTGTTTGTCAGTGACGATCTCATCTTCCTGGTTGTGTCTTCACTGTCTGAACCCATCGTTACTAATTCATTTTATATTTTAAACATTTGAAATACATTTGATACTTAACTGTCTGAGCGCTCTGTGTCTATTCCCGACATTTGATACTTAACTGTCTGAGCGCTCTGTGTCTATTCCCGAGTGCATGTGTGTGGAAATTATGTCTGCTAAATGTTTGTCTGACTGACTGTCTGTAGGACTAACTGAGTGGCTATCTGTATGACAGAATGGCTGGCTGTTTGATTGTCTGACTGACTGGTTGGCTGACCGACTCTGTCTGTCTGACTGACTAGCTATCTGACTGACTGACTGTCTGACTAATGGACTAACTGGCCATCTGACTAACTGACTGTCTGTCTGTCTGTCTGCCTGCCTGAATGACTGTCTGCCTGAATGAATGGCTGACTGACTGACTGGCTATCTAACTTGCAGTTTGTCTAAGAGACTGTCTGACAGCTGTCTGTCCAACTGGGTGACTGATTCTCTCATAACTGAGTCATTGTCTGACAAATTGACCATCTTTTTGTGTATGTTCGTTTCCTGTTTATTTAAATTCCAAAACTCATCACATTTCGGCAATTTCTTTTCAATGACTACATTTTGCATTGTTGCCCAGCTGTTTCAGATTTTCACAAATATCATCCGGTTGGGTTTTCTCTCATAGCTGCTGCAATTGGGTCAAACCTCTTATGGAGCTCCTAGTATGATACTCTAAATCAGAAGAGCCACTAGGCGCCCTCCTTATTATAGCAAGACTAGTCATGGGGACCTAATTACTCTACCCCACGACCCCTTTTTATTCTGCGACTGGAAAAACAATCCTCATTTGAAAATTGTCCCCCCTTTCCTTAGCCTTTACTTTCCCACAGCGCCCTAAACAGTAATATAATAAGGGCATCAACAGCAACAAGTAGCAGTTTATTAATTGTATAATACTTAACTATTTTTGTAGGCGTCTGTGGCTTAGGCGTTGAGAACGCGCTTCGTAATGCTAGGGTGCCGGGTTCGATCCCTGCTGCGGACGATTTGTCTTGCGTTGGTTTCGACAGCGATACTGAGAGCTGACCTTTCAGGGAGTAATGGCAAACTACTGAACGTAAAATTGCCTAGAAAAACCGCAACAGCTAAAAAATGCAACGTCCTGTAACAATACTGTTTTTTACGTTCTGAATTTTAACTATTTTTTACTTTTACTCCGAAGTGCAATATACAATAAAACAGTTTTTTTTTTTTTTTTACCTTATGTACCATCATTCACTCTCGTCAAAGATCACAGATAGGCCAAAGAGGCATCCTAAGACAGAAACGAACACTGGACCTTCATTGTATTATGTCATCTCCCTGCCTTAACGCCGTCTCTGAATGTTAATTCTAACAATCCACCGTGGTTTTGTACGCTCTATACCAGTGATTCTCAACATTCATAATGCCGTGACCCTTTAATACAGATTATCATGTTGTGGCGACCCTTTAATATAGTTCATCATGTTGTGGCAACCCTTTATTACAGTTCTTAGTATTGTGGCGACCCTTTAATATAGTTCATCATGTTGTGGCAACTCTTTCATACAGTTCTTCATGTTGTGGCGATCCCAAACATAGAGTTGTTTTTGTTACAACTGTATAACTTCAATGCACTTTTGTTTTCTGATGGTCTTAGGTGATCCCTGTGGAAGGGTCCTTCGATCCAAAAAATGGTCGCGACCCATAAGTTTAGAACCGCTGCTCTATATAGTCAGTGTTTGTTGCTTAGCGTTGCGAACGCGCTTCGTAATGCCCGGGGTGTCGGGTTCGATTCCAGCTGCAAGCGATTTACCAGCAGACCATCTTTTGTTTATTTCGACGGTGAAATCGCGAGCTGACCCATTAGGAAACAATTGAAAACAACTGAACGTTACCATTTGACTAGAAAAACCACAACAGCAAAATAATGCTGGGGTTGGTTCTGGAACGTACTGTAAAGGATACGCAGCTAACTATACGTTTGCTGTTATTATTCTACGGTCTGACA